CTGGGCAGAGTAGGCTGCAGCTGCTGGCAGGGGCCAGGGCTATGCCTGGCTCTTCCTAGTGGGGACTAGGGTGGGCTACACTCAGAGCGGGCAGCAGTGGCCCTGGGAGGGGGGCTATAGTGGGCCGGCAACCACCCCAAGTTTTGCCATAGCCCCCTTCCGTATGCCCTCTCCCAGGGCTTCAGCCTGCCTCACCACGCACAGATCTGGGGCCACAAGCCCTCTCCCCACCACCGTGCCCTCCTGGGGTGCATGCAGCAGCAGGAGCAACTCACCCTCCCCACGCCCCCTGGATGAGCCGTGGCTCTGCCCCACCCCGCACCGCCCAGGCAGCACCTACCTGAGCCCCAGCCCCATTCCCTCCCTCTCTGCAGGCGGCGTTGATCTGTCCCCCCCACCCCGCTCCCCCCACAACAGACCTACCAGCTGTACACAGCTCTCCAAGTTGCCGGGCTATACTCCTCGCCGCATACGAATTGTGCCGATTCGTGTTATACGAATTATGCCGATTCGTGTTATACGAATTATCAGCCACATGAGGCCTATTTCTGATACAATCAATTTTCTTTATATTGGTGCCAATCTGATATCGGGCCAATGTATTGGTGCACTTCTACTAAGAGCTCTACAATTTCAAATGGATTTCAATGGCCTGCTTTGGATCCAAAGAAATTTAGATAAATTTTGACACTTCACTCTTCAAAACTTGCTCATATGTAGAAAAATAATGAGCATGTAATGAACCTGTCAATTCTACTGAAAAATATGACAATTGTATTAAATCAGACATTTATGAATGTATTGTTATTGAATTTTTCAGTAGTAAATTATCAAGATTTTGTTTAGTAAAGCTGAAATGGTTCATTTTGACCCTAGCCTTTCAACTTTTATTTTAATTAATCATGAAAGTGCTTTAATAAAGATTAAGATTAAACACTTTGGAATATTTTATTCTCCAAAAATTCCAAAGATTTCAGCTTCTATCCCAGTTTAAGAAGAAATAAAATATTTCAGGTCTCAGAATTTCAGCTGGACAGATGACTCATTTTTCAGTCATCTCTAGTATCTGGATGGTTTTTTCCTCTTATCTGTGAGAGTACCCCAGATTTAGAGAATTCAGTTTTTACCCCATGAAGGAATGGATTTTCAAAATTTCAGGCACTAGATGGTTTTCTGTTTGTTATAATTAGGGATGGGACTCCAAGAAAGAGCTGTTATAAAGAGGATGACAGTTTTCTATGTTCACCCAGACCAGGACATGCAGGGCTGGATTAACAGATAGCCAGACTAGACATCCCTAGGGCCCTAGCTTCAGGAGGCACCTGTCCATCCCTCTGCAGCAGCAATGCGAATGGCTCCATCCACCTCCTTTCTCTTCCTTTCCCCTCCCCTCCGCTGGCCTGGCTGCCACCGCAGCTGCTTCCTAGCAGCGGCACCAAGCCCTACTCCCCACAGGCAGCAGCCAGAGCGGGGAGGGGGGTCTCAACCAGCCCGGGGCGCACAAGTTTATTTTAGGGCCCACTAAAGGGTTAATCTGGCCCTGGGGACATGTAGCAATGGGCTTGAGTTGAAGATTGGGAATTAGCCTAGGTATTAGGAAGAAATTTCCATGAGCATGGTTGAAAGTACTGGAACAGATTACCTAGAGAGGTTGTGAAATCTGTCCTTGGAAGTTAATAAGTGCAGGCTAAGCAAATATTTGTCTGGGATAGTTTAGACAGGAAACATCATATATGTTGAACAGGGATTAAATGACCTCCTGAGGTCTCTTCCAGACCTAGCTGTTTATATACAGTCTTTCTTATGAAGTTCTTATCTGAATGCAGCAAAGATGAGTGATTACTAAATTACATCACCAACTGATGGCTCTCTATAAACCTAGATAAAATGTGGCAGTAATATGCATTTACTCCATTAGAGGACATGTCTCCACCATAAAATTATCATCACAAGCAGCATCTTTATTGAGAGAGGTTAACAAATGAGCTATCCTCTCTCTTATGAAAGTTGTTCCTTAGCAAATTAGAATTTCATAAGGATGGAGATATGGCTTAACCTGCCATTGTTTTGCTGTAGGTCTCTTGTAGAGGAATAAATTAGTTCAGTCTACAGGAATGCTACATACTACTTTTTCATGCAAACTACCTTAAAAACTAATGAACACACCTGAAAAAAAAAAAAATAGCGTCTACAGTGCAGGAGTGTTTGATAAGGAGGTTACCATCCCTGAACTTCGGGGGGGGGGGGGGGAAATCACCCAGCATTTTCCACTGGTTTAAAACATGAAAAGGTGTGTACAATACCAGGTTGAGTGATTTTATTTCACACATAGAATGCAATTAATAAGAAAAGCAATATACTGAACATCGTAATCTGAGATTTCTACCTTCCTGATAATGACGTTTATTTGACCAGGTCTGTCCATCATTATGACATAAAAACCTCTGAATACAGCGACGAATTATATCTTCAAAGCCAGGTCTCATGGATGATCGCAATGAATTTGTATCTATGTTGATTAGTTTTCCTGTCACATGAAAGAAAAAGATAATCAAAGAGCCCTTATGTCAATATTAAAAACAGAGAATAGTATTTTAAAAGACGGCAAATTATGCCTATATTCAACCTATCACTATAGCATGTAAGTGCTCAAGTCAAATTTTAACTGTGTATGTGAACTTTGTACTTCTGTACTTCCATTCAAGGATTTCAAAGTGCTTTACAAAACATCAATTCTCAGCTTCCAAGGGAAGTAGGTTAGTATCACTCCAAGAGGGACATCCATGGGGAAACAGCAGTATTTCCAAAAGTGTATAGTAATCATGGGTGCTTTTGGATTTAGATGCTTAAGACAACTGAGAATCAGTTGCTTAGCAATTACAATTCGAGCCAAAATGAATATGAGCTGCAGAGATCTAGCATCTGTAGCTACATCTGCAGGATTCTGTGGATGAACTAGTCAGGCATTGTGGCCAAGCTCCTGCTGAGGGAGGCTGCACCAAGCAGCAGAGTATGTTTGAATATACCACCACCTAGCACAGTAAGTCTGCAGCGTAGACATGACCTGTGAAGCTCTCTCTCTGTGAAGTACAATTGTTGCCCGTTACAGACAAAATATTTCAGAGAACTTTTATTAGTTGGACATATAATTAAAATGATTTCTAAAAGGTTTATTAGAGGAAGATACACAATAAATAATTTTAAATACAAATCAAGGCAAGACAGAACTGTATTAATAGGGCTACTTCCTGCAAATTTTCCATTCATTTGCCACTATTTACTTCATACAAAAAAGAATCAAGCAATAAGAAAACACACATTTACAATCTTCACCAGGAGTGCTCAACTCCCAGCCCACAGGCCAAATCCAACACACAGAGCCATGTTATCTTTTCTGCTGGGTTCCCCATGGGTCTGAAAATTTGCTGGCGAGTGAGTGACTGCAAGCACCACAAATAGCTGCTCCCCTGCTGCCAACATTTCCAAACCTAGCCTGGCAGGTTGAACATCATTGTCCTGCATGCTAGATCAGGTGTGCAAAGCCGGGCCAAGGCAGCATGGGGCCCAATCCCGAGTGCCGACCCCAGAAAGGAGCCAACCCCCAGCCTGGCCGTCTTCCATTCAGCCGGAAGAGCCAAAAGGTTGACCACCACTGACTTTCACCTTAGATAGGTTTCTCACCTGAAAGGTCATGTCTAGTAATGAAGCTTTCTGGGTTTGCTGGAAATACCCTTTCCACTGTAGTGATACGACGTGCCACACAAATCATACAGGACTGCAAATCTGCAATAAAGATAGCTAACTTAATCTCTGTTTTACCTATTCAAAGATGCATTTTTATAAAAGTAAAGATATAAATCAGAGAGACAAGATGGCTTTGTATTTAAGTCTTATAGTTTCACACTACAGACTACTTTTCAAAATATATCAAATACTAGATAGCCATAAGTCAATTTTCTTGTAAAAATATTAGCACTGGATTTCTTACCCTCTCCTTCTTCCATCATAGCTCTTGGCTGAGATAAAGCAAAGCACTGCATAGTTTCATATCTTTGACGGGTATCTTGATTGCTACCTACATCTTCCAAAAGATCATGACAAGTTTTCACCATCATGCGGCAATTAAACGTGTGGCTCTTCTGCCTAGGCGTTTCATTGGTCCAAGCAACTCCATTAACTGAAAAATATACAATCATAAATATTCACAAAGATTTTCAAACAATTTCAATTCTTAACTGATCGATTTTTGAAGGCCAGAAACCAAGGGGATAGTTGATGTAAAATGTTGATAATTATATTGGGACATTTTAAGAAGCTTTCTAAATAGGTCTTCACTTTGATATCTCAAGGAACAGTGATCAGTGCCAAGAAATACCACCTTCCTTTTACATTCAGCCTCAGGGAAATAGGAGCCAGCTGAAACGGCATTCTTATATAAAAAAAAGTGGGTGGCTGCTAAAGCGATCTTGGAATCTAAGTTCTGTTAGGATTCAAGTAACTGATTTCAAATCTGAATGGTCCAGACATGTTTAAATTATACAGCCAGGTTTTTGCTGATAATTCACAAATGAACACAGAATACAGGACATCAGGAGAGCAAAGGTCAAAGATTGACTTTCGAAATGGAGAAGCATACTACAAAGATGACCTAATAACAGTTTTATCAAGCACTATAAAGACAACTTATGCAATGTTTTATGAACAAGCCATCCAACCCAGGAAACCCATTCCTCTTCCAGTTTCTGAACACACAAAAACATATAATCATAAACAGACTCCCACAAATCTAGGCGTCTGTCCTGCTACAACTATATACCATAAATTTCTACACCTCACTCATGCCAGTTTGTTTTTAGATACATTTTTATTCTGAAGGCAACATTTTGAATACACAGGTCAAAAAGGATACAATTAACTAGTAGTCCTAATGGTAGAATTCTATTTTCAACTTCATGCCACACTGCTAATTAAGAGCATTAGCAAAGAATGCTTTCACAAAGTTCCTATTCAAGTCATTTTATTGTATATTTTGGGGACCCTATTACCTGCAGCTTTAGGTAAGTTTTTAAGGAAGTCCTTCCGGTCCTCTTCATGCAAGATGCTATAGACACTTGTATTCACCAAATCTTCTTGTTTATACTGTAGATATTGTGTAACATTTTCTGATACAAATACAATGTTCCCATCTCTATTTACAACAAACAGGAAGCCATCCAATGCCTAAAGAAGATATCAAGAAACAGTTTATACATAAATACATAGCCATGCACAAGTTTCTGAAGCAATGTAATTTGAAAATTAAGTGGGGAATAGAGCGTCATTTAGGAGCCTACCACAATGATACCCAGACTTCTTGTTTTTTAACTCCTTTTTGGAAGAGGACACATGATAAAGGATCTGTGACATCATCATACCTTGCAATATGCTGAAGTCAAAATCAGGATTACATGTTCATGGTAAATTCTTTAAAAAGTAGGAATGGAGCATGAGAGATTTTCCATGGTGAAAAAAAAATGAGATACCTTTCCAGGTTTGAAATCAAAGTATGAATTTCCAGATCTGAAACAGCATTTCAATATTTTTTTTGAGTTAATTAATATACTGAACTACCATGAATACTGAACTGCATGACTGCTTTGCAATGCAAGCAACAGTTTCTCTTTGTAAAGTTGTTCCACAAGAGAATTGTATGTAGTTTGGAGTCTCCACACATTAGCATGGCTGCAAGACTAGCACTCAGGACTAGATCCTAAGAAGCACTGGTAGCTTCCTCTGAAGGGTATGGCAGTTCAAGATATTGACTGAATCAGACCCTTAGTCCTTACAGACATTGACGAGCCACAAAAGGGCATAAGGAGAGGCAAAATACTTTTAAGGTTGTCACCCTGAAGTAAAAAATAAAAAGTTCTGGACCCGCTGAGCCTATTCAGTGTAATACTTAGAAAAAAATATGCAACTGCAATCTGCTGAAGCAGATACAAAATGCCATTTTGTTTTTTGAATCTCCAGATTTTTCTCCCTTTGAGACAAGTTTTCTTCCTTGCACGCTGGTTTGCTATTATAAGGTGGCTAGCATTTCATAGTATTGTAATTCTGTCAATTAACATACTACATTGAACACTAATTTGGTTATACCAGCACACATTTTACACTTGCCTGAAGTAAAAGAGGTCCCAATGAATCCTTATCAATAACGCCTTGACCTGTAGAAGATACGTCAGCTTTCTGTACATCATCATCACTGGACGCTGTTTTTCCTGAAACCAAAAGACAGGTTTTCACATTACTATTCTGTGTAAAGAAATATTATTAAGCTGTGTACTGTATTCCAAGAAACCTGGGAATTAAGCAAAGGAGATGTAATATAAAACACCTTATAGAAAATAATCCAAATTAACATGTAGAATGTACTTTGTTCACTGAATCCTTACAACAGCAGGAATAAATTCTTATTTATATTTCTGCATATTTTTATTCATGTCTCATACCAAGAACTAAAGCTTGTTTTAAGCTTTTATCATCTAAAATATCTTGAATAAAAAAAAGTTTATTACTACAAGAAAAAAAGGTCACCAGGGAATTATGCAATGGAAATGAGTAACACTCTGTTTTCCATGATATTTGCTAGACGTTTAAGCAGACCATAATAGATATTCAGTGTCCCAAGGGAAGAAAATCAAGTGTACAGTGAAGTACATTTGTTGCCACTGGCAAGTACCATACTTACTTGACTCCACCATGACGCTGAATTTAAGAGGACCACCCAATAATTAGTTTCTATACATGGAAAATGTATAAATTTATTCTAATTTTCCATGTATAGAAACGAATTATTGGAAGGTAGTCTTCAATTCATCCCTCACACTGCTGCAGGGCGGGCAGGCAATGAAGGCAGGTAGTGTGGGGAGGTCCAAGCAACTTGTGCTTGCCCCTGCTATGACTACCCCCTGCCTGGCTCCTTCACAGCCTTGGGTCCTTCGCTCTCCCCCAGCCTCTGCTCCTGGGCTGGCAGGTTCCATCCCCATTCTAGACTGGGGCACAGATAATGGCCCCAGCCCAGTCCCATAGCAACATGTGGCTGGGCTGTGCTGGGGCCATGCTCAATACTATGGGCTCAAGCATGCATGAAGCTTGAGCCCATAGTATTCATTCAAAACAAGAATGAGTGGTGGAGGGAGAGGAATGGTGAGGTGGCGTGTGTGGGGGTGTGGAGGGAAGTGGCAGGGTGGCGGGGAGGCAGCAGCTACGGCCTCGTCCCTAGGTAGGGGCTGGAGCTCATGCCACAGAAGCTACCTGCCCCTCCCCCTCAATCCTGTACTCAATTTAAAACAAGGGGCTCCCTCCCTCCATGCTGAACATGGGGAGCACCTCAACTTAGAATCAAGTAAATTTAGTACTTTAAATTACTGATGAAGACAATTTTAAAATCGTATTCTAGCAGACAAAGCAAAACTTTGTAGTTTATTAATCCAGGTAAACCATGTGGCAGATTCCAGTAGACTTCTAAAACAATATGCTACCAAATAGAAAGGTGGATTTGGCAGGTATTTGATACATTTTCTATACATTTTTAAAGTCTCTTCTATCAGCACATCAGGGTGTGTGTACAACAATCATATTTGTCTTTATTTAATTGCTACGTTACTGTTACAAGTAACACCTAAGGATATCATAGCTGCAAGAAATTAACAAAATTGATATTCCTCTATTCGTGTATCCATTTATTTACTCTGCATTTGAATATATGATGTGAACAGTTGACACCACATGTTAACAGTTTATACTTCCATCTAGACACAGCCTAACTGAATTGGACACAGTGATTTTCCCTCATTGGAACGTTTCTCCAACTTTAGTAGAAGACAAATTAAATGTGAAATTTAAGAAGTACTACTTTCAGGATACGGGATTGAAAGAATAATTTTATAAGAAACTGGATTTCCTTTTTCAAAATCTAAGTCTCAAAAAAAAAAAAAAAAAAAAAATCAAGCTGGAAACAGCAGATTATTTAATTAATGCTACTACAGATCTAGCCCATCTGTGTTTTAAAACACAACCTAATTGTTCTGAGCTATTTTAAACTTGTTTGAAGTATTTTAAGGAAATAGATAAGGATGTACTTGGAATGCCCCTGTACTTTAGAGTAACTCAGAGAAACTTCCTGATTCAGAAAGGATACTTCAGGACATTATTTGAAGCACGTTCTGAAGACCTACTAAGCACATGCTCGTGGTATGTGCTGCATGCATTTCTAACTCATAATATATTGCATGAAAATATTACTGAACTGTCCAAACAGCTAAATATCATTTTGGATAATAACTGCCTTCTAGAGGGAAATGCAATATTGTTCTCTATGACTTAAGAAGGGAAGCCTTGCCTTGTTCCTTTATCTGCCGAATCTGTCTTACAGTTTCCTTTAAAATTGCACATTTGTCTGGTTTGACATTGAAATTGTCAATGTCACTCAGATTAGCAGATATCAGCTCAGCCAGTTCTTCAATGTATTTACTTTCCTGCTCACGTCGACGCTTCTCACCACTGCAGTTCAGACTAGGAACAAGAAACAGCATTTAATGTACATATATTTCAGCATAAACAAGAGCTATGAACACACTGTCACCTTTAGTGCACTTCAGATGTGACTTATCTGTTCAACTGAGCTTGCAGATTCATATATTTAACATAAACCTGGAGGTTTTTACAGAACCATAAACAGAAATTAATCTTGAGAGGTTCTGAAAAGCTTAGTGTTCTAAGAATTGTTGCAATTATTTTATTGTTGAATTCAATGAAAAGCACAGCTGGCTGCTACAAAATTGTAACATTCATACTATAAAGTATAAGTGTATTTTAACCTTGAGAAAAAACTGCAGTGCTTTTGTACTTTACTGAATGAACGAATCAAAGTCTAACAACTTGACATTTCTCTGATTTGTCTATAATGTAATGATTTTGAAATGCTGTATCCCATCAATTCCAAAATTTTAGGTACTTTTTTAGGCATCTGTGGACACAAAAATAATTGATTTTGGTACAAACAGGTTTTTCAAGTATTAGTTATTCAGGAAAATTAGCACCTACAAATTTCCTATTGGTTCAGGCAATTGAACCTCTCCACAGCCCCTTTATTGTTGCTTACACAGATTGACTAGCTGTGTGGGGACAGAATGCAGCATGTGGGGACAAAACTTTATGGCAGCACAAAGCCCAAGCAAACAGATGTCTTGCACCCCTTGTTACGCCACAAATGCCCCAAATTGTGGCTGCAACAATTTGTAGCTTAAAAAATAAAAATAAAAAATTGTGCCACTTTTCTGCAGTGGCCATTTGTTTGCTTACAGCAGGAGAGCAGGCCTCCCAGAGCTAGAGCTGCCCATGCTCTCCAGCTGTTCTGGGCAAATGCTCCTAGGGCTTCAGAGTCCCGATTGTATGCACCTCAGGAATTCCTTGCTGGATGATTCCTGGGGTGTGCCTCTGCAAACAGGGGGACTCAGCATTCTCCTGTTTGCAGTTGTCCCACAATATGGGCCACCCAGAGCCCTGGGAGCAGCAGGGACTAAACCCTACAGGACAACAGAAGACATCTGTGTCACCCAATGAAATGGATCAGGTGTTCCAGCACATCCTAGCAAAGCTGATCCCATTCCAAGGACAAGCCTATTTGTTTATAGCTTGTGTGTGGCCTAGGCTCTATGACAAAGGAGAGCCTCTTGTTAAAAAGTGTGTGAGGGAAGGGGGAATCATGGGAGTGGCAACAAGGACAGAGCATCAGTGGTTGAAAAATATGGATGGAGGGAAGGAGGGGAAGAAGCCAGGATCTGAATAGGGTTGGCCAATGGCGATGATGGGAGAGAAGGACGGAACTGGAGAAGGAAGTGGATGAGATTTGGTGGATGGGAAGGCATTACCTGCAAGGGAATAGGAGGAAAGAGCTGTGATGATGAGCAAAGCATGGGTTCTACATCAGAAACTACTAGATGTGTGTGTGTGGGCACGGAAGAAAAGATATGAAGGAGGAAAATAGAAATGGGAAGATGAAAACTAAAAACACAGTGCATTCTCACAGATATACTGGCATGTAGTGGGAGAGAGGGTTCCTGCAGATCCACAGACATATAGTGAAGGGAATGGGACGAAGAGCACAAGCCATACAGGTGGAAGACAGGAATGAAGAGCAATAAGGACAAGGAAAAAGGGAATGTGGAAGACAATGGTACAGGGGAAAGAGAAGGGGAACATGAGATGATCCAGAGTTGCTAAGCATGTGGTGGAAGGGACAACAGAGAGATAGATTCCCTGGCCTGAGGACAGAGGTGTGGGATTTTTTAGGGTTATAACATGGTTATGGGAAGCTAGCTTGTAACAAGATTGCCAGGAGATGTGCAAAGATACAAGAGGCCCTTAGTGAATGCTTAGTACACAGACCGCAGAAGTTTTGGATTTGAAACCCCTTCATGCAGTTCTATAAAAAAGTTTGCCAAGCATTACCAAAACTCACTAACAGCATATGAAGTGTTGCTTCCATATATTTTTAAGCAAATGTGATTTTCCAATTCTATTTTCATATATTTATTTTACTTATGAAGGCCTTGCTCACTCCTGTAAAGGTCTGTACACATGCTTAACTTTATTACAGCACAGTCAATTGATTTTAACAGTTCTACTCAAGATAGTCAAGTTAAGCCCCATTCATATTTATGGGAGTAAGGCCTAACAGATTTTGTCATCAGAATGAAAAGTTAGCAAAAATGTGTTAATATACATTTCAATTAAAATCTGAAACCACAGTACGCTACCTGTAATTTCAACATGAAACAGAAAGAATGAAAATATATAGCTGTACCCTGGTCCTGGCGTATCACAGGGCAACGACTTCCGTTTCCTTGACTCATTGGTCAAGCTGTCCAAAGAATTTTCTCCTAATCCACTCATCTTGACTATACATCAGCAACTGAAATGATAAACATCAAAACAAATCAAAACACATTTTTCAAGATAGTATTTCAAGCAATCAGAACACAATTTGTTTTACAACTTTTTGGGGGACAGGGTAGCATATTTTCACAATAATTTTGTAAAGCTGAACTGCAGAAAGTGAAACAGGTTAATCCCCTGTAACTGGCGATGTTTGAAATGGCTACCTGATCCAATTCCTAATGTTTCTAAACTGTCCACATTCATACCAGAAGCCCTGGAATACATTAGCCTATAAATCCAAATGGACATTTCCTTGGGGTCCAAATATTTAAGTCAAATTCTGTGTAAAGAATCATGGCTTTATCTTACTCCTAAGGTCCCTTTCCAAGACAGGGGATGGAAATGGATCAAATGAGTCTCTGTATGCAATTCTTCTAAAGATCTTTTCAAGGCAAATTATTTGCATACAAAAAGTCTTATACCTGATAGTTTGACAAGGGCATCAACTGCTCAAACCTCCCAAAAGCATGGATCCTTGTGTATAATTCAACCTGATTTTCCAAAATGCCCATTCACACTAACTACACAACAATAAATATAACACCAAAGGAAAGGGAAGTAAGGGAGGATCTAACTCTCTTTGGATGTTCAATTTGTTTATTAGTGACTTGGACGACAGGGTAAAAAGCAGCCTGTTTAAATTTGCTGATGATATCAAGATTTGGGGTGAGGTGGGCACGCTAGTAAGGAAGGACAGATTACAGCAGGACCTGGACAGGTTACAGGGATGGGCTAACAAAATAGGATGGGTTTCAATACTGAAAAGTGCAGGGTGCTGTACTTGGGCAGTGGGAACCAGCAGCACACTTATAAGCTGTGAAACTCCCTTCTTGAGAGCACGGTGGCAGAAAGAGATCTTGGAGTCATTAATGACTCCAAGATGAACATGGGCCGACAATGCGAGGTCACGGTCAGTAGGGCTAACCGTACCTTGTTGTGCATCCACAGGTGCATCTCAAGTAGGGCCAAGGAGGTGATCCTCCCCCTCTATGCGACACTGGTCAGGCCACAGCTGGAGTACTGTGTTCAGTTCTGGGCGCCGCACTTCATGAGGTATGTGGACAGCATTGAGAAGGTCCCAAAGGAGGGCCACACACATGATCCGGGGACAGCAGGGCAGACCCTACGAAGAGAGGCTACAGGACCTTAACCTGTTTAGCCTTTGCAAAAGAAGGCTGAGGGGGGACCTGGTGGCCATCTATAAACTCACCAGGGGGGACCAGCAGGGTTTGGGAGAGACCCTGGTCCCCTTAGCACTCCCCGGGGTAACAAGGAATAACAGCCACAAATTGGTAGAGAGTAGGTTTAGACTAGACATCCAAAGACACTACTTCACAGTCAGGGTGGCTAGGATCTGGAACCAACTTCCAAGGGAAGTGGTGCTGGCTCCTACCCTGGGGGTCTTTAAGACGAGGTTTGAGGTCTACCTGGCTGGGGTCATTTGAGCCCAGTTCTCTCTCCTGCCCAGGGCAGGGGGTCAGACTTGATGATCTGCAAGGTCCCTTCCAACCCTACTTCTGTGAATCTATCAATCTATGGATGCTTTAGTAGTTGAAAAGGATGAAATAAAAGGACAGAGGTTCTGCCGACTCTTGTGAATCTCCTAATATTTATTTCAAGCCTCAGCTCTCGGAGAAAAGTGATTACATGAAAAACTGAAGGTCCTTTTTAAATAAATGTCCACCTTTCTGCTATTAAGACAAACTTTAGAACGTGGCCTTGACTACATCTAAAAGCTCAGAAAGGCATTAGGTAAATAAAAATAACCTATTTTTAATATAATTTTAAACTCAATTCATAATTTGAGTGTTTGATGTTGGCAATATTGGGTCTTAGGCACAAATATTTGGTGCTGTGCTGAAGCATGAACAAGAGTCCCAATGGCAAAAGGTTCCTAGAGGGTCTTAATACATTTGTAGTTCTGCAAGTACAATCTAAGAAACAGCAGATCTCTGGTCCACAGAAATCACCTATTCCATGGCCAGACTCCACACTTATCAAATTACACAGCAAGAATATGAAAGAATAAGACTTCTATTTAGTTCAGAGCACTATAACCAAAGGATAAGCTATTTATACCTAATCCACCATTCATACTTCTAGATGAAGCACAACCACATTATGCTATATACTGCTCTGTGCCATTCAAGGACTTGGATTATCAAAGAATGGACTTAGTGGTTACACAACACTGCATTATTGTGTATAAATATACATCACATTTTCTCACACAATACACCTTTTGCCCCCCAAAACAGCTGCTGGAAATCTGGGTGTGCATTACATGGGAGAAAATATGGTATGGATAGTTTCTGCTGCTTGAGAGTAAAGCATGTACACAATCCACAGGGAGCAGAACAACGAACAGGCTTGGATCACTAGCTGCTGATACTAAGAAAAAAATCTTCTTTTCTTCATTCTGCCTTTCAAAAGCAAGGTATGTATCTTATTCTGTGGCAAATACATGATAATAATAGATGGACATGCTGATAATATCACTGTGACTGTTACATACTGTCTGATTTCAGGCAGTGTGACAAACTTAATAAACTATATTTTACAGGGTGTTATAAAGTTATACTCAGTGCTAATCTTTTGTTGATATAACAGCATCAATAAAGAACTAGAGCCACAAACAGAATATGTATTTTTTAAATATTCTCAGAGACAAGTTGACAGCCTGCTAAAAATCAGTCTTGTAATCAAATATTCTAGAGTTTAGCATGTAGTATCAAAAGAAATGTTTGTTATAAATGATAGGTAAGTAATGGGTATTGTATTCATTTTTTGGCTTCTCTGACACTTTAATTTCTATAAATAATGCTTGAGAGGGAGAATGTCACATAGACATCTCTACACATTACAGGTATAGCGCAGTTAACTGGTTAATTGCACAATTGCCTTGAGACCAGCTACACGTACAAAGTACTTACATGACGCCATAAAAAGCTCCAACCAACTATAAAGTTAGACCTTGAAAATGTATACTAACTTTACAGCCGGTTGCTATTAAACTTTAATTTGCATATGTAGCAGGTTTTCCCCGGCAGCTGGGAGCCCCATCAGCTGCAGATGCTGGGTACCATCAGTGCACTTCCCAGTGCCACGACCCAGCTGAGTCCCAGCATTGGCAGATTGCAAATGCAATCTCCCAACCCTGTGGGTGTACAGAGCCCTCACAGCTAGGAACCACACAGCTGAGGCGGCTCCCAGCCATGGGAGTTTGCTTCTGGCTGGTGCAGGGGGTACCCAGTATTGTGCTCCCCCTGCTTCAACAATAAGGCAATGCACGATCCCATAATCATGTGTCCTGCCATGCACATGTGGCATGGCCAGAAATGCAGTTGTGTGTATTGCACATTAGATCCCACTGCACCTTTACCTGCATGTGTAGAGGGGGGCCACAGGGACAAATAATCCAAGTATTAGGTAGTTTGTAGGATAATTCTCGTTAATTTAATGGAATCTGTGAAGCTAAAACTGTGCATCAATTTCAAATGTTACCCCCTCGTGTGAAGCCTTTACTCTGTCAATTCTTTTATTCAAACCAATATTTTATGTCCTATTTTACAGTTACTTTCAGGGAAACTTGCTTCAACCCTGAAGGGCAAATAAAGCAGCTACTTCAACATACCATTCATCTCCAGGAATTGGATTCACTCTCCACACTATCATATTTCCTTTCTATCGAATATTAAACCAAAGTCTGCTGGAAGAAATGGTGTCATGTCACCGTAACTGTTTTACATGCTTCAGAAATTTATTCAACCTAAAGCTCGTATTACCATGCACATACAGCATAATAAACTGTATCTACCATTGCTTTCCACTCCAAGATCTGCTATTATGCAACAACTTTGCATGAAAAAAAAGTCTGATAGTATTGTAGTTCAGGACCAAATTTGTCAAACCAAAATGATCTGGCTGAAAAAGAAGATCAAAGCTGCAAAAGTATATATAACCCAAAAGAAACGTGTCCCAGCCAGAAGCATACAACACTAGAACCTAGGATGACAGGGTCCACTTGGATGATAGCAAGTTTATCGTCATACTTTTCTGTTGATAGAATATTCTGAAATAGAAGTATGGATGGGAAGCCAAGCTCATGTTCTCAATCTTTCTGCTATGAGGACACACCTGTTAGAATAAATGGTCTTGAAAAAGAAATAGCAAAAAGAGATATGCTGATAAGCTGCAAGCAAATCAGGCACCACTTATAGAAATAAGGAGGATCAGTATGCTGATAAAATGTTTATTGATAAAAAAAAAAAATTTTTCCCTTGATGTCTTCTTCTGTCATCATGCACTACCCTAGTCTCTGCATCTTCCACTTACTGCAGATGGATTTCTGATTTATGCTTAGAAGATGAAAGGTAAAGCAAAATGGGCTGTAAGAACTGAAGTATCACAAGACTGTACAAAATGCTTCCAGGACAGGAGAACAAAAAAAAAAAAAAGAAGATTGCTTATGATTTATTATGCTGGACTGATTGGTGTTTCTTGCTGTTGGTAGCTGGAACCACAATACTGTTTGTTCTTACTCTTGCTTGGTAAACTGAGAGGACAGGGATGAACAACAACATTCCTGTGTGCTGAAGTCCTGGTTGTCATGTTAGGGTGTTGATTGGTTGTCTGAAGCAGTTGCTATTGTTATGTTAGGATGTTGGTAGTGGATGGAAAGTTCAAAAGGTTATTTCTCAAACAGCAGTTCAGACCTCTGAATGTTGGTCAACACAGAGACTGGCCTGCTGTGGTTAGCATAGATCAGGCTCTGGGTTACTGGGAGGTGTACACTCAAGTTTAAAAATAAAGTAATAATGTATGGGTATCACACAAGTTCTTGCTTAATGTGAGCATCAGTGCTTTATATAGTTAGGTTATTGTAATTTTTTACACCATCACATCTGTCTATATTCATTAATTACTTTTTGATAAAGGAAGGAACAACATGGCAATCTTCCTACATCTTTTAGA